TTGAGCTATAAAGATCAATGAATTTCATCTTCCCACTATAGTTTAATATGTTTACGTTATCCGGTTACAGCTTGGGAAGCTTATTCGAGAGACTATATCTGATGTGAACTTTTGGAATTCAGGGGCTGTGATGTTTTTGTTTGAAGGCAATTTTGGCAACATTCTTCATACTGGTGACTGCAGACTCACTCCTGATTGTCTGCAGAACTTGCCAGAGAAGTATATCGCCAGAAAAGGGAAGAAGCACAGCTGTCAGCTTGATTTTGTTTTCCTTGACTGTACATTTGGCAAAAGTCTTATGAACATCCCGAGCAGGCAGTCTGCCGTTCAGCAGGTAAATCTGACAAAGCCTTGTACTTCTACCTTATTCACTCTATGCAGGCAGACATGTATCGTACAATTCCTTATGACGATTCATGTTAGCCGACCCCAAATCATTTTGGGACTAAGGCTTTGATATTGTTGTTTTCTTTTTGATGGGGGGGGGGGAAGCTTATAATTGTCTGTGTACTGTATAACTTTAGTGTTTGCAAGCTTAAATTGAAATAATTTCATAGGTTGTGATGCATATAGTTGCCACTGGATCTTGTTGGGTTACTTTTTTCATTGATTAGCTGAACTTCCCTGGTCCAAGAAGTGTTTGTTTCAGAATGAATATCTGTCCATCTCAGAGTGATTTTCCTTTTTACCTGTTTGGTGTTTTTAATCAGTGTGCATTAAACGCCCATTCTCATATACTCGTATGTCATCTTTCCCCTTAGTTGTTTTTGCATTGGCATATTAGCCCTGGATGTTGATATATACTTAGGTTTTATTTCTAACCTGATTGCATTAATGTAATGAAATAGGTTATCAATTGTATATGGAAACATCCTGATGTCCCAACAGTATACCTCACCTGTAATGTTCTTGGCCAAGAAGAGGTACTTGATCAAGTTGTTCAAACGTTTGGGTCCAAGATATATGTCGATAAAGCCAAGCACCCAGACTTTTACCAAGCTTTGGAACTTGTAGCTCCACAAATCCTTTCTGTGGATCCTACTTCTCATTTCCATTTGTTTGAAGGTTTTCCAAAACTGTACGAGAAGGCAAAGAAGAAAATATTGGAGGCCCGTGAAAATATGCAGCCTGAGCCTCTCATAATACGACCTTCAGCACAATGGTATGCAATGGAAGAAACCGAACTTACAGTTACGGAAAGGAAAATTGTAGAAAGATCAAACATTCCAGTGAAAGATCAGTTTGGTGTCTGGCATATTTGCTACTCTATGCATTCCTCCAGACAAGAATTGGAGTGGGCTTTGGAACTTCTTTCTCCTAAATATGTAGTTTCGACAACTTCAGAGTGCCGAGCTTTGGAGCTGGATTATGTTAAAAAGCACAGCTTTAGCTCTCGAGCTTCTGATGATTGTTTTTGGATGATTCTAGGCATGAACATGGAAGCTTCGCTGAAGGTGTCAGATGTCTTGGTAGAAAGTAGTGGATCATCTTCTGTTGTGGTGAAAACTAATGCAGCTTCTGAAGAACTTGAGCTGCAATTGCCAAAGGCATTGAATAACCAGAAATCTCTCTTAAATTTGTCTCCTCCAAACAAGAAGCCTCCAATAACCTTATTTGGACGAGCAAGACTTGGTTATCATTCTTGCATCTTGGCTGAAGAAATGAAAACTACATCTGTAGAAGAGAGGAAGCAAACCCCCGTTTCAGATAGTGAATGTGAGAGTTCACTTTCATCCCCTCTTCTTGCCAAAAATATCCCTGACAGTCCCTTATTCGACCATAAAAAGCTCCCCAGAGATGCATGTATCACTACTAGTGTAGTACAAGGTAGCAAACATGAACAAGTGGAACATAATCTACTATATTCTGATGACAAGGAGAATATAGTTGAGAAGCCTAATGAGAACACTATAGAGGTGGTAGATGCTGCCTGCGTAGAAGATAGTAAACACGAAGAGGTGGAACATAATCTACTATATACAGATACAGACGACAAGGAAAATACAGTTGAGAAGCCTAATGAGAACAACAGAGAAGTGGTAGATCCTGGTACTAAATCTGATATGAATAGAAGGGATGCAAAACTTTGTAAATCTGCTTCATATTCTTATGTCCAATCATCAACAGGGTACAGTGACAATTTTCGGAAGCTTTATAGGTCTATGAATGTACCAGTGCCTCAACCTCTTCCTTCTTTGGTTGAGCTTATGAACTCTTGCAAACGTCCCAAAAGACAAGTCGAGTTTAGCTAATATTCCATCACAATGGAGGATTTTTGCTTCTTTATGACGTTATTACTGCTATGCTTCTGTTCAAGTACTTGATAGATTTGCAAAGAACAGAAAGGGATGACCAATTCAGAAAAGGTGCAGAGTACTGCTTACATATTAATGTGTCGTCTCACCAAGGTTGCTTGGTCTAGTGATTGGATCCTGACATTATGAGTTTGAGGTCATAAGAATGAACCTTGCCACTAGGACGGGTTCATGGGGTGGGGATTTCCTTTATACATCCTCCCCAATTCTGAGGGCTCTGTGTGCATATCTGAGTGAGTTGACTTATGAGAGTTCTTGTCCAGTAGGGTCCATATTTAAAAAAAAGTCATCTCAAATACATCGAAAAAGAGGGGTTTTCTGACATACATTATTCAAAATTTTTTAGACTAGGAAGTTACAGAGAGCAATTGTTCTTATTTCTGACATACATTATGTACGAGATGTAAGAATTTTTTTATATATATTGATCAAATGAGAGCTCTCTTTCTGTATCATGATATTGATTACATTCCAATTTCAAGTTGATTGGAGTAAAATATCAGGATTCCATTGTTCTGCAACTGCTTCAGGCACCAATTTCATGAGAATGAGCACAAAGCGGCCAAGCGGGGTAGACTAATAGAATACACTCTTACAGTATGCATACCAGAATCTTATAGCCGTAACCTACATTGATTGATAAATGAAAATTGTGCCTTCAAAGTAACTGGTATGATAGTTCTTGAACATCTGAATCACATCCTTTCATAGTTGAGTTTATCAGACTGCAAACAAATGTAAACTGTCAGAAGTTGAAACACTAAAACATGTAGAATTTGTGTATATACTCTGTAATACCTTAATAAGCATATCTGTCGGAAGCCAAGCTGGTGATGTTGGAATTCCAACCCAGGAAACCTGCAAATTCAGCAAAATTCAAGATTTTTTAGCCATCTACTATTGGATCAGCTGGTGAAATGAGAATGAGTATCGCACCTAAAGTAAATCAGTTTATGATACCTATTATAGCAGGACTTATAATCTTGCTATTATGTGCGAAACAAAAGACTTGCTCACTTCAACTTATTAAGATCAGTTGTGAGCAGTAAACATCATTTATAATAAACAAACACTTATGATCAGTAAAAAAAAAAAAACCAGTGAATCAGTGAGGCTTTGATCTGTAAAATCTGTAATCCTACATGACAAATTTCCAGTGAATCAGTGAAGCTTTGATCCGTTATACAATCAACAAAACTCAGTTTTTATAAGCAAAAATCAGTTTATTTCCATATCATCAATTCATTTTAGTTAAAAAAACTGAAGAGGGGCCAAATAATCAAGGTATAGCCGTATATGCAATATTCAGTATTAACAGGCCAGGCTTCAGAAATCAGAATTGGGTTACTTACAAGTGCATACTCTCCTGTCTCAAAAATGCGTATATCCAGGACCTGCATTACAAAGTTTAGACTCATGAGTTTTTTTTTTTTTTTTTTTCCTTCTGCATTACAAACTTCATACTTTCCTTGTATAAAGCTGTAGTCATGTGGTAAGGTTTTACCTCTCCACGGTCTTCATAAATGTAGTCCAGCCCTTTATAGTATGGTGGATGTCCAACTGATAGATACTGATTATTCGCAGAGCTCGAACATGAGATATACACACAATTTTCTATTGAAACTTTAATTTGTTAGGAGAGAAAGATACTCACATTGACACTGTTAAGGTACTTCTCCTTGTCCACCCTTACAATCTGACCTTTCTTCACTGTCCAAACCAATCATACGAAACCAAGTCAATCAGCCAAATTCTATACAAATTAATAACTACATTGATGATTATCAAACATAATATAAATGTACTAATAAACTTGTACACGTATACAACATATTATTCTATAAACCCTCTTACTAGGCTTACAACTTCATGGCCTATAATCTATGAGATGAGCCAACTCGCGAGCTAAAATATTTTAAACTCTCTAGTGAGCGGCTTGCTCGAGTAGCACCCCTAGCTGTAAATAGCAAACTGAAGAAAAGAAAGAAGTGGTTTTCATGTCAACAAAATTGAAAAATATAAGAAACACTCACTTGAATAGACAGGCTTCTGGGGCTTTTTAGGGGGAGGCTGATCATTAGAGCTTTCTTTAGTTTTAGTCTCTGTGAGCTTCTGTCCACCATCAGCTTCAGCTCTAACACATAGCCGACGTCGAAATGGGATACTTCTTGTGGTCTTAGGGAAAGAAGAGAAGCAAGAGAAAGCTTGGGGGTTTGAAAGAGTTGTTGAGAAAGCCATGAGTGAAAGAGGAACAGAGTTTTGAAGGCTAAAAAGGCCACTCTTTTTGGTTGTTCTTGTACATTTCAGATAAGAAATGGAACTAATATTGCAATTTTTGAAGAAATAATGTGAGGCTTTCTTCTAAGTTCTATCTTAAATCTCTTAAGGGCCACATTTCAAAGACAAAACTAGTTCATTTGGCGCTTTCTGTTAGATGGCAAGTTGTTTGTTGTGCATTTAGACATTTAGTCCAAGGTTAGTACTAATATTAACAAATAAATAAGAGCAATTACTCAAAAAATAAATAATAATCGCAAAACTTTGATTGGCATACATGCCAATGCACAACTTTGACAATAAATGTATATAATAATCTAAAAATATTTTTACGTACAACATATGTTTTTTTATGTATTATATTTGACGTAAGCATATAAATAGTGTAAAAGTCAAATTGTTGCGATTATTTCGAAATGGAGGGACTAGTATACTAGTATATAATCAACATTTATTCAACAAGTTTTCATATAAAATAAAGTTCCTTCAAGTGAGGTTGGTAAAAGCAGCCATCCTCAAATGAATTTGCCCATTCTCCTGCGCACCCCAGCACCTGTCCTTCCTCCTCTCAAGTGTACAGCATTTATCTCTAGGTTCATCTTTCTCCCTAATAATCTTCTCTTTCAGTCAGGCATTTCATCGAACACCTTGTGTGCACTCACTAAGAGAATGTTCCCTTTGTTTTCTGTTAAAAATACTACTGTTTCTGATTTGTGATGGGTTGTTTGTTTTACATTCTCTTTATTACAGAAACGTAAGTACTGATCAGTATGCTATATGGGGCCAAAACTTGAATTTTTCCATCAAAACCAAGCAAGGTGGAACCTTGCCAATCCTTAAGAATTGCTCAATTCAGATACCTTCTGGCCAATTATGGATGCTTCTTGGACCTAATGGGTGTGGCAAATCTACCCTTCTGAAGGTTAATATCAATCTTTATTGCTGTTTATTTTTTCTTTGGATTCTCTGAAATATACCAGGTTTTCTGGGTTTGTTGTTTATGATTTTCTGGGTTCATACATCAAGTACGAATTATATGGTATGCAATTATTGGATTAAGGACAGATTAAAGTAGCCTATTTTATCAAACTATAGTAGGGATAAGGTTGCGTATATCTGACCTTTCTTGCCCTGTCCCAGCCTGAGATTAGGGAGGGAGCTCTTTAGTGTAATTGGAAATGTTGATATTGGGTTTCTAGCTTATTGTTTAAGGTTATTATTGGTTCATAATTTTTGTTGCAAAGAAGAGGTTCCGCAAGTTAATTGGAAGTAGCTATGACCTATGTGTTACTGTAGGGGACGGGGTAAGGTTGTGTACAAATGACCTGAGTTGCCTGTCAAAGGCGATGTAGCCTAGGCATTGGGGTAATGTAATTCATGTTGGTGTTGAACATTGGGTTAAGCCTAAGCATATGTGGTTTTGATTGGTTATATTGGTGCAGATATTGGCTGGCCTCTTGAAAACAACTGATGGGAGTGTTTATGTTAAGAAGCCAAAAAGCTTTGTCTTTCAGAACCCAGATCATCAGGTCAGTTGTGGCAAGCTTCTTTGATTTGAAAAATGTAATCACATTCGGGTTTGATGTTGTTGCTGCATTTGTCAAAAATCTTGTTTTTTGTAAGTTTGCTTTGTATCAAAGTGACCATATAAAGTAGAGTGCCTCAGTTTGCTACTCTTATTAATGTGAAGTATCTTAGCCATGATACTAGGAAAGTACCAATGTCTGGTCTCTAGACATCTGAACATGGTATACTAGAATTTGGACCAAAAATTGACTTGACAGTTTGATTTTTTGATGGTAAAAAACTCAGATCACTGATCTTTTATATGTGGTGAAGAAAATAAAAATGGTATCTTGGAGAATGTTATTGAAAGTTCATGAATGTGCTCGAAATTACTGCATGGGAGAATGTAATTTATAAATATTCTTCTTATATGTTGTGGGCCACAAGAATATATGGAATGTGATGCACACTTTTTTTTTCTGAATCGAGCATTTGATGATATAAAAATGTAAACTAACTGCTTAGGTTATTATCAAACCAGGAAATGAAAGGTTAATCCAGTAGATCAATTTTCTTGCCAGCTTGAGCAATCTATGTACTTGTTTATCTTGTGTAAAGGTTAAGTCATCTTTGACAGGTAGTGATGCCTACTGTGGAAGCTGATGTTGCATTTGGTCTTGGTAAATTTGATTTGACCTACGAAGAAGTTAAATCAAGAGTTGGGAAAGCTTTGGATGCTGTGGGCATGTCCGAATATTCACAAGTAGGTCTTATACAATAATGTAATGTCACAGCGACACAGCATATGCCTAGACTTCATGGCTGATGCTTAATACAAGTATAATTTTTTATTGGATTTTGCTAGAGGCCAGTTCAAACTCTTAGTGGTGGACAGAAACAGAGGGTTGCAATCGCAGGAGCATTAGCTGAAGCATGCAAAGTACTGTTGTTGGACGAGCTCACAACATTTCTGGATGAAAGTGATCAGGTATTATATTTCAAGTGATTGACCTTTCTGCATTGAAGAAAACAAAATTTGGTCATGTACTTGACAATGATGCTTTCTCAATGATAGATTGGAGTTGTAAAAGCAGTGAAGAATTCCCTGACAAGCTCCGGAGAAGTAACGGCATTGTGGGTAACCCATCGTTTGGAAGAACTTGAATATGCAGATGGTGCAGTATACATGGAAGATGGGAGAGTTGTGATGGATGGTGATCCTTCTTCAATCTTGGATTTTATTAATAGACAGCAAGCCTTGTACATTAATCAAATAAATTCCTGATTGGCACTCCGTACATGTTAGATTGATTGCGTTGTAGACTTGCAGTAGTGTTGTCCGTTTCTACGTGTCTAATATCTACGGTGTTTTGCTGCTGGTATTAACAAATGTATTGCACATTGCTTTTGAGAACAAAAAGATGATTTTTCGTTTAAAACTTTCATTCCTGACAAAGATCAGTTAAGCAACACACCGCCATACAACATAGGGTGAAACCAAAAAATGTGAACCCTGAAAGCTAACTGCGCCATACAAAGTATGAGAGGCCAGAATTGCCATCTATTCATCAGGTATAATTTTGAGAAAAAAAGTTAAAAAAAACTCCATAGTTGAGGCAACTAATCTTATATCAACCCTCATTTATCAGAAAAAAATGATCATAACCTAAAAATATACAAAACTTCAGCTGCTTTTATCAGACAGGCTGTCTATCCAGTGGTTGGGATCACTGATTTGCAGTGCCACTGGTCCGCTGGAGACCCTTCTTGGTCCTCACCAAAGATTTTTCTTCACCACCTGATCATGCACAAAATTCTCTAAAATCATAAATAATTAAAGAGTATATGGTGCCATAAACCTTTCCATATATATATGCAAGAAAACACACACATATACATTTATGTACATTACCCCACTAGTACATGGCTGACAATAAGTTATTCAGTTGCGTCTAAAATTCCAAGGGAATTACAATAGAAAAAGGTAAAGCCAACAAAACAGTTTAAACTCCATGTTAAAAAAAAAAACAAAACACACACACACACACACACACACACACACCCACATACAACGAAATTGTGATGAAGATTAAACCCAAAATTGGCATGATGTAGCACAGCATACAAATTTAAATCAACGGTTGAAACTAACAGCTACGAAACTTCTCCCAGAATCATGCATGTCAATCCTAATTATTGTTATTGGTGAATTCAGATGGTCTGGCACAATCATAGTAAACAAAACAAAACATAAGGAGCACAAATTGAATTGAAGGATCTCTGTTGAAGGCAATGGATCTTGAGTTCGACTGAGAAGCAAAAAAGGAAGACGTTACGATATTACATCATTAATTGATTGATTCTAACCCAAACTTTACGCTTTTATCTAATGCAGCTTCCCAGTCAAAACAATTGGATATTCATTAGATTAGTTGCATTGCTAACAAAATTGAATTATACAAGTAGGAACAAACAAACAGCCATCAAAATTGACCAATAAGATCATACAAAGAAGGAAATTCTCAAAGAATTGGTGCACCAGCAATCTCAGAACAAATCCAGACCTTATGCAGCAAATAGAACAGTCATTGTCACATTGAGCTTGCTCACAAATTCACAATTTAGTGAAGTCTAGCTCAAGCAATGTAGTTTGCTCCTACAGCTACTAAGTGTAGAACAAGGCACTAGACATCTTCCTAGCTCTTCTCTATGTCTTACTTCACAAAAAAAATATCCTAATGCACTTATGCAACCAGATTGGGCTATACTAAATGAGGCAGTTTTTGCTCAAACTATTTATTACTGTCAGATGGGACTACAAACATATTGAAGAATCAAGATCAAGCTATAAAATTCCATAAAATAAAAGCTGTTTACTTAAGGAGCTCGGAAATTGATTGCTGAAATAGAAGTACTCGGTTACATCAGTGCACAACTGAAAGCACAAACAGAAAGGATGTGCTAGTGTCAAAGAGAGAAAGGATGTGCTAGTGTCTAAGAGAGAAAATTCAAGGAGACATAACTAAGCTATGAGGCACTTCAAGTTCTTGGCATTCCAACAAATTAATCAAGAGTTGCAACTTCAACTAGTAATTATATCTAAGAGAGGTATGTCCTTAAAAAAAAAATAAAAAAAAATAAAAAATCTAAGAGAGGTATAAACTTACAGAAAAATCATCCAATCATAATACTAAGAAACATAATTGGCATTAGGACAGGACTACATGGGACAAACACCCAAAATTAGAAAAGTTGATCCCCAAAATCAGGCAACAGATAGTGGCACACATGACATTACCTGTCAATCCATAAGGTGAGGCAACTTACACAGGTACAAACTAGGAGATGTTTAGACAGCACCCAAAGTCAAAAGCTAGAACTCAGGTTGAGCAAATTAAATTCAAATTGCCAGGCAATGGAGAGTCAACATCACAATGCAGGATGGAATCTGCTTATACGATGTTCATTGTTTGATCCAACTTTTTTACAAATTAACAAGAGTCTATCCTCCTACAGACAATACAAAACCAATTTTCCGATCCTCAACTACTAGCTACTCATAGTTGCAGGTAACATACTGATCTCATCCTTTGATCATCAATCAACTCCAGAGTAGTGGGGTAAATAACCAAAGATATAGGTTCTGGCAGAAACTTTTCCATAGATACAAAGATTAGTGACAACGACTAAAGCCGAGAGCTTAGCACTTTGCATTCATTGGACAATACATGCACCCTTTCTACATTCATTTATTATTACAATCAATCACTGTCTTCCTTCTACAATAAAGCAACACCCCAAAATGGTGATTTGTCCATATAACCAGCAACATTGTTCAATATTCATTGAATCACATTACCACTCATCAATCAATACTTCCCTTTTGTCTTGATCCCATCAACATTGCCATAATATTAACTCTATGTTCATCACAAATCTCAAATGTTATCAAAATACACTAAATTATGACAAAAAGATCACTATAACAAGAAATTATACCTCAATTGACTCTCTACATCATTGAGCAGGGCTCTCACTCACATCCTTAGCCTCAGCCGCATCCACATTACCGGAATCCTCAGCACAAAACCCTTCCAACACCGCCATCAAAGTCGAAGACGGTCCGAAAAGCGATCCAAGAACCATCCCATTAGCCTCCATCTTAGAAGGGGTACTCTGAAACACCTCCAAATCCAAATGCCCATAGAGCTGACCACCAACAACAGCCCCAGGAAAATCATTAAACTCCATTTTTCCTTCTTTAACAGCAGATTTCACACCCCCTAAAACGGGACCCACAGCATCTTCCTTTTTAACAAAGAGCAGAGAATTCATCCCCTTCATACAACCCCCTAAAACCTCAAATTGGGTGCCAGAAAAAGCCTTGGAAACAAGAGAATTCTTGACAAAAACAAGCTTAGCAGCAGAAGGGTCAGAAGAAAGAGGGGTTTTAAGGGGTTTGAATTTGTTGGCAGAGAAGCCATGGCAAGGGAAAGGGGAGACAAAGTAGGAATCTTGGAGGTGGGTTTTTAGGGTTTTGATTGCTCGGAGTTTTTGGTGGAGTTTGGGTTTTGGGAGGGGTTTGTATGGGACCCACTTTGCGAAGTGCCGGAGTTGGTGGTGGTTGAAATGGGTTAGGGTTTGATGGGTAGTGGTGGTGGAGATGGTGGCTCCAACGGTGGAGAGAGAAAGTTGCAGTCGCATGTTGTTGTAGAGAGAGAAACAGAGAGGGTCCTCTGTTTTGAGTGCTTAATTTGATTTGATGGTAATAAAATTGCTAATTATTAAAAAAAAAAAAAAAAATAGTTCTAGATCAATTTTTTTTAAAAATGATTTTTTGATTAGAAAGAATCACTAAGTTTACATGACAATTCACTAAAATGATTTATTATTGCCAAAATATGATTTTTTTTGGTTAATTAGGTTTTTCCTATGTAATTAGTACAATAGTAATTTTGACAAGTCAATTTTGAGCCTTGATTTGAATAACAACGATCACTAAATATCGGTTAACGAGAGTATACACTAAATATCAAAGGGATATAGGAGTATGAACTGATTTGGCTAGTGGAGTCGTTAAATTGTTGATGAGAAACTTGGTCATTGTTTCGTGAAACATTTATGTTTGAGAAAACTAGAATGTACCTGTGTTAATGCACGGGATATAAATGTAAGTGAAAATAATGTTAGAAGCTAGGAAGCATGAGTACTTTGTAATTCAATTTATCATGATTCCTGTATCGGACACGCCATACGCACATTATCCTTATGAGTATTCGATTTATTTATTTTTTTCATTTCATTTGAATAACAAACTAAAATTTATCAAATATCATAAAATCTTCTTCTTAAAACATATATTAAGTGTTGGTCAAAAAAAAAAAAAACAATAAAAAAACACATATTTTAAGTATTAATTAACCAAATCCATATCCTCTATTTTTAAACTAGCGTATCACATACAAGTCTCATATGTACTTCTTCTTGTGCAACCTAGGTTGTAAGTTATAGTAAAAATTTTGTTGGAGGCTACACGAGTATTTTAATTAGTCAAAGTTTAGCTTTGTTACCCCATAAATTTGACGTTTTACAATTTGGTCTACACTAGTACAATGGGATCATCATTTTGCATTAGTATATTCACCATTTTAAAAAACAAATCGTCCTTTAACAAATTACTAACCAGTAGCAGTAGCCATAGCCATACCCATAGCCACAGTCACAACCACAACCACATACAAAGTTTATTTCAAAATTTATCATCAACAAATTACTATGGAGTATATAAATAATCTACAAATGTAATTTGGTAACAAGTACATGTAAACAAAATATAATTCAATCATTCTACATCACATCTCATCTTACAACTCAACTAATTGTAGTTAATTTTACCATTTTTTTTAGAATTTTAAACAACATAACATCTACGTAAACTTAAATGCCGATTAAAAATAAAAAATGCAACATAACAATAAGTACAACATATACTAGTAATTATTCCTGTAAAAAAAAATAAAATAAAAAATAACATATACTAGTAAATACAATTGAATGAATGATGCGAATGGCTCAAATTATGGACTACCTAATCGAAATATCGAATTAATTTGCATTGACTACTAACTAGTACACTAGAAGTATTTATTGCTACTATAATTATTGCTATTAAACAATTCCTTTATACTTTAGGGGAAATCAAAATGCGAAGAACTTTTCTCCATGGGAGGAGATATTTGAGCAAGGCCTAAATCTAGACAAACTTCAACATGCAAAAGTGGTAGGAAGCAATCACAATTCACACTCTTTTGGACTCTTTTCATTTCCCAAGCAAATTTTAATTATTTTCATATTATTATTCAAATTCAATGCCAACAAATGCTTATTGACCAACCCATCATTGGACCTTTTCCCCGCATAAAATTATCAAACACTTGACAACCAAATTCCAATTTTAAATACATCTTCTTTCTTCTCATCACTTTCTTCTCATCACTTTCTTCTTCTTCCTATGTTCAAACCTTCCAACTCATAAAGGAAACCCAACTCAAAATTCAATCTTTATGCCCCAAATTGTAGTCTGGTTCTTAATTTTCTCTCAAATCTAGCCTAGTTTTGAAGGATTTGTTGTTAATTCCTTAGAAATAGTGTTTCTCAGTGGAAATTTGCAAATGTACTGACTTGTTTTAGCTGATATAATTCTGGGTTTTCATTTGCAAGATTCAAACTTTTGTGGGCATGTTGGATTTCCCTTCTATATAAGCAGCTTTGAGCTTTTTTTTGGCCCAAATGGGTTCTGGGTAATTTTTCTTTCCTTGTTTTGTTGAGTTCTTTTGGAAATTATTGATTATAATTTGTGTTGTTTCTGTAATTCAATTTGTGGACTGTCCTTTATTTCCTTTTTAGGTTTTGATTAATTGTAGGAAGGTTTTTAATTGATGCAATTGTATGATTGAAGGGTAGTTATTGAGAAACATTTTGTTGTTCAGCTTTTGTTTTAACTGCTTTAGTGGGTAGGATTTTGTCACAATTTTACTGTTGTATTTGGCTTTGGAACAATGGATTATGATATCTTGTGATTAACTGTTTGAGTTACTTGAAGTTGCTTATAGAAATGGTCGTTTTTGTTGATTGCTTGTGAAAATAGAGTTTGAGATAATGATTAATAATTTGATTTCACCCTTTCGTCCGACTTCATCATGAAGGGGCCAAAGATTAAGCCTTCTAAGGGGCCGGACAGTGTTTGGGGGGGGGGGGGGCAGGGGGGGATTGATAAGGTGCCCTTTGAGACTTTCTTTCAATTTCTATGCTTTGTTGGTGAAGGTTTAAGTTTGGTTGATAATCAATTTAGCAAGTCCTTGATTTTTTTTGCCAAGAATGAAACCCTTATCTGGCCTGACAAACCAAATTCTTCGTGTTTCCAGATATCTGGATTCAGTAACACTGCAAAGATAAATCATGAGTAGTGATTCTCCAGCTCTTTCACATCAGGGTTTATGGCTTTGACTTGATTAATCCTGTTTCCATTGATTGGATGATCTTTGTTTACAATTTTCTTCTTTGCAATATTGTAAGCAGCCTTTTTAGTTTCGTCCCCTGGGCCCTGGTTGCAGGAACTCATACTCTTAAGTGCAATTTATTTATAGAAACCAAAAGATTTTGTTACTATTACCAGGCTGGCATAGCTATGATGATGGATTTACTAGTCATTAATTTTTTTTGATTAGAATCATAAGTGCCCAAAGGGCGGTCAATCACAAAAGAGTATTCATTGGGAGATTTGGGTAGAAAACTTTGGTATAAACTTCTGTAATTCAGATGACAGAACTGAGTCAACCCAAACTCTAGATAATCTCCTTGTGGCCCTCGATTATGAAACTGTTGAACCGCTCTCTGGTCCTGTCGAAAGATAATTTTCAAACCTAGAAATATGGGCCAAGCTAGTAGTCACCACAGAAGCATACCTTCTTCATTCTATTGCCAGTGTCGGTCTTTATCTTGGAGTGAGGTTAGAGGGAGAGAAGGGTTTGAAATACATGACCTTACGGTCCTTAGCCTTTTTTGCCATCTGTGGACATCTTGTTATACTTGGTAAATTGCATGTGTCATGAATATTCTATGAATCTTGAATGTTGAGAAAATGAGTTATTCTCTTATCAACTAAGCAGAAACCTGCATTAATATGTTTCTGTCTACAGTGATCATTTTTCTAACTCTCCCTTTATTTTTTTTTGGTTCATCTATCTTATCTAATATTCCTCATCTTCTACAGTTCTACATTGGATTCCAAGAGTTTTAGTAGTTTTTAATGAATTTCAGTGAAGACATCTCCAAGCTCTTTTAGCTTTAAGCCTGAAGTATCTCTGAACTAAACTGTCAATTCTGTGTTTATTCTTATGCCAGGCCATTTTTGTCTACAAGGCCTTCTGACAATGAAAATGATGTGGAAAATGGTATCTTGGGAAGAGAAAAAGATAAAGCTTTGCGGACTAGCAGATCGGTTAAGATACCTAACCAGGCCTTACTGTCTGGGGCAGCTTACTGCATTTCGTCCTGCAGCATGATACTCATTAATAAACTTGTCTTGTCCAGCTATGACTTCAATGCCGGTATATCTTTAATGCTGTACCAGGTAATTTTATTTATTTTTGTGCTCCTATTAGTTCGTTAACTAGCCATCTTTATAAGCTTGGGAGATCTCATTTATGAATTTATAGTAGATTCAAAGCAGTGACTTTGCATATTTCTCTGCAAAAGCTTATGGTTTTTTGGTTTTCGTTGCAGAATTTTGTTTCTGTACTTATCGTGTCTGCATTGTCCATTTTGGGTGTTGTAACTACAGAGCCGCTAACATGGAAGCTAATTAAGGTTTGGATACCTGTGAACATTATCTTTGTTGGGATGCTCATTACAAGCATGTTCAGGTGAGTAAAAAGCAATTTCCTTTAGTCAGTGACAGAATACAATGCATTTCCCCATCTTCAAGTTGAAAACTGTCTTATTGCAGCTTGAGATACATTAATGTTGCGATGGTTACAGTCCTCAAGAATGTCACCAATGTAATGACTGCAGTTGGTGAGATGTATCTCTTCCAGAAACATCATGATAATAGAGTCTGGGCTGCTCTATTTTTGATGGTATATCTCAAATCTGAAAATTTGTTCAGCTTCTATTTTTCTGTACATTTTGAAATTCAATCATTATTTTTAACTTTTTTTGGCAAACTATCATTCCTTTCTGCTGAGATTCCTGGCCTTGTTATGTGTTCTTCTAAGTAGATTTAATCATATCCCGAACATATTTGGTTTATCATTCAGTCAAATTAGCTCCTGATACATCTTCTAAAGTTTTGAGATTTATATGAATCATATAGTGTTATTGTAAAGCTCTAATTTGGAACTTGTAGTTTCAATTTCTCTCTGCCTACTCTTATCTTCTGTGGTTTATTAGTTTTTGCCATGGCGCATGATTGTGGTCAAGTTGGATAAACCAGCAATTGAGGCCTCTTTAGAGTGGTAGAGGGCTAGGAAACTCAAGTGTGATGAGGATTAATAAACTCTATACACGTTGCCCTTACAGAGGATGCTCTTGACTCGACATCCTTTGTTCTGTTCCACTCGAATTAAAGAAATTAAAAAAAAAAGGATTTTCAATGCGAGATTTCAAAACGATCTTTGGCTCTGGAACTGAATCATTTCCTGCAAAGGTGTTCAAGCTTGTAGGAGGGTCACTACGCCTCCGTCTTGAACACGTTCACGAACGCACTCGGAGTTCCGGAAGTTGAATACTCAATGAATTCAACCCTTACTCCATAAACATTGCAGTAGAAAAATGAGAATAGGGATACCTTTCTTGTCCAGAGAGGCAGAGACCATGGATCTCCCTCTGTTTGTGTTCGAAGTGTGCAAGGTGTTTGGATGTGTCTGTGTAACATATTGCTCAGCTAATTAGCTTTTACAAATGGATTTAGGGTTGATTAACATTACTTTATACTACATAATACCAATTGATATCTTGTTATTTTAGTTATTTTATCTTGTACACTTTAGATTTTAATGTGTGCTGTGCTTTTGGAGATTAAGCGTTTGTCTTTCTGCAGATTATTTCAGCCATTTGTGGAGGAATCACTGATTTAACCTTCAACGCTGTTGGTTATACATGGCAATTTATCAACTGTTTTCTAACTGCTTCATATTCTGTGAGTTCAATATCATTGTTATTTCACAATTTGCTTGTGGTGCATTTCATTGTGGATATACAAGTAATGTCTTATTATCTCTCTAGAAATCATCTTCTTTTCCAATTTTTGTTTGGTTCATTTATTACACCTTATCCTTATAGTGGCATTCTGATAATTCACCCAAAAATAAAAAAATTTGCCTTTGCTTGTTTTCAATGTCACAGCTTCTTATAAACGCCTTCTTTCCAGCAGTCTTAAGTAGCAAATTATGATATAGATGCTTATGGTGAGGGAAAATGATTTTTTCTATAGAACTTGAAGCTTTTTGCATAAATCAATGTAGAGCTTTTTAAAAGGTTGTAATGAAGAACTGTAAGCATAAACCTTGGGAATTCTGCTACTCTCCAGACAAAATGATCCATATTTTGTAGAGCATAAAATAATTTTTCTTTTGGTTTGACCCACATTTTGCTTACACATTCCTCATATCAAGACTGTCAAGGGACAATTGGCTGTAAACTCTAGAATTGACTTCACCTGGGCCAGTAGGCTATTTTTCATCTTGTGCCATTTCTTTTGTAGTTGCAGTCTAGTGAATAACCCTGGCTGCTGCTACTCAATAAAGCTTTTTTTGTTTTACTTCATTTGTTGGGAGTTATGCCAATATATTCGTCAAAATTTGGGCCATAATAGAGAACTCGTGCTCTATCATTGATGACATCGTTTCAACTACCAAAGTTGTTGAAGGGAAGTCAACAAAGTGACAAACTATGTGTTCTCATAGTTCATGCACATGGTGACACGGCTCATGTCAAGAGTCAAGATTGCCCTAGAACAAGTACGAAGTAGTTGTTAGTTTTTAAAATGACTCCACCTGCGCCACTCAAATATTGCTCCTCTTAGTGTATATATTCTCATTATATGTATGTCTTGTACAACATTTGTAGCTGAAATATAGTGAATAATGCTGGTCACTGCACCTCATTAATGCTTCTACTTTGCCCAGCATATTTTGGGTGTTATGCTCAATGCTTTTGTCAAAATTTGGGTATCAATTAAGCATTCATTTGTGCTTTGTTACAGTTGACATTACGGCGTGTCATGGACACAGCAAAGCAAGTCACTCGATCAGGAAATTTGAATGAGTTTACGATGGTCTTGTTAAATAACACTCTCTCAATCCCTTTGGGTGTCCTGCTTATTTTCATATTCAAGGAGGTGGACTATTTATATGAAACGTGAGTTGTCTATTGCCTATGCAATGTATATGCTGACGATTTTATGTCAGTTTTGTTTTCCTCCCTTCAAATTAAATCTGGATCTGTTGGCATATATACTCTCTATATAGTCAGCTTCTGAATTAATTAGTGTATGATCATCTGTAATTTTTCATTTCGTAAGAGTCCCTGTAGAAGGGGCACTGTTTTGTTGTGGTTCTAACTCTTCTTTGGATGTTACTGACAGCCCGCTTCTGAAGTTGCCGAGTTTTTGGTTGGTTATGACACTAAGTGGATTTCTCGGTCTGGCTATCAGCTTCACTTCTATGTGGTTTCTACATCAAACAGGGGCTACCACATACAGGTAGGCTGCATTCTTCATATTTTCTCATTGGAGACCAATCTATTAAGCTTTTAACAGTACTCGTAACTTCTATACCAGGATAAGTCAATGTTGCTTAGAGGTGGAAGGATCGTTTAGAACAAGAAAAAATTAGGAACATACATGATAGTTTCCTTATGAGTCTTATTATGTTCTTTCATGAAACCTTGTGCTTCACAATCAATATAGTATTCTGAAGCTTTCTTTGAATGACCATGAGAATAAATTACAGGCTAAATGATTTTAATGGTTTTTGCTTAATGGTTGATGTTGCTGCAATTTACAGTCTTGTTGGTTCTCTCAATAAAATTCCTCTCTCGGTTGCTGGAATAGTTTTGTTCCATGTTCCTACCAGCTTGCAGAATTCTACTAGCATTCTATTTGGTAAGGAGACTCCCCTTAGAAAACGATGTAGCAATTATGTTTTTCTAACTTGTTGACGAGTTCTTTCTGCCTTCTCGATATGTAGGTCTTATAGCTGGGGTATTTTTCGCTCGAGCTAAGCTAAAGGAAAAATCTCAGTCTGGATAGTTGGAATCCCAATTCACTTGTGTGCCCAATGGTGGAAAGTTTCATGTTCACAAAAATCCTGCTTTGTTGATTGGATTGGTTCTTGTATCTTGCGCAATGAGTTGAGTACTTGAGTTGAGCAGCCTTTAGAGAGGAAAAACACGAAGATGGAGCATGTTTATTTGTACAGGACAACCGAGTTTCCATATGAAGAAAAATGGTTGCTTTGTTGATAGCTGGGATGCAATGCTCTTCCGGCGTACCAGTATAGTAGATCAAAGGCATTTGTGCCCTGGCATCGAGCTTTTGCATCTTTAGCAAAGTATCTACAAGTTATTCCTTTCTGATTCTTGTTCCAATTAATCCTTTGGTATTTTTGGCACAAAGGAAATTTGTAAACAAACTATTAGGTGAGGGTCGAAGACCTATTTGAATGTAATCACAAGCTGAACTATATAAAATGAAATGCAAAGTTTATCGTAGTATGTTCTTAGTTTGAAAGCCTCTTCTCACAATTCGCTTTCAATATCTAATATATTCCCTTTTTTTATATTTACCATGCATGTGTACTCATCAATATCACAAGTGTATTTGATTACTATTTTCTCTCCTTTATAATATTTTTACTCCTTTCTGCATACTTGTGCTTGTGTAATGCAAGTGTTTGATTTTAGTAATAAGTTTTTGAAGGTTAAAATCATTCATATGCCCAAAGTAAGTGTGATGGCTTAAGAACATGAAACACTTCCTTTTCTTTATCAATGACAATATAAGAATTAGGGGAAAAAAGTTCAATCAACCATTTTGCGACCTTTGTTTATTTAAATGTCTAAGGGTATATGGACATTTATAGATATTTTTTATGCTGGTATCATTCATTCAACTATTGTTTTATTATAAAAAGTCAAATATCCCTCAATTATAAAAGTTCAATTCGCTTTACGTTTTGGATGTTTAAACATCGCTCCCTTTTTACTAGGTAGCGGTCCCATTTTAATTTGAATACACTTATTTACCCTTCTTATAAAATATACAAATCACCTTTCATCTTTCATATTTTACTCCACTCTTTCATCACTTTCTGATAAAAAAATAACATTCACACACTTTTCTATTATAAAATCAATAAAATTCAATTTTTTTTTTGTAAAAAAAAACCTAGAACACATCCACACACCACTAGATCTACATTAACAACCACCAAGACGAGGTATTACGTTTGGTTAAAAAGGGAAAGGTAATAATAATAATAAAATGCTTGGAAATTTTGGAATTCCAAGGAAGAAACACCTAGAATTTTCGGATCCCCTTGGAAGATCCGAAAATTCCAAGCGTTTCTTCCAAGGGCTAAGGGGATCAGAAAATTCCAAGCGTTTCCCCCTTGGAGATCCAAAATTTCCAAGCGTTTCTTAAAAAAAAAAAAAACTTTAGATGACGTACCATATGCTCCGACAAATGCTTCGGTGTTGCAAGGTTGTTGTCGTCTATCGTTCGATAGCTGTGAAGAAATATAACATAATTTTTAAAAATATTTTGAATTACGGCGTCTTTGTGGTGAGGTCGGTGAGGTACAGTTGCACATGGTAAAGTATAAGGGAATCTAATAATGAAATTAAAGTGAAAGGGGACTATAGGGGGCCATTTTATAAAGAGGGCAAGTTCGTACATACATGTCAAAAAGGAAGCGTTACCCGGTAAAAAGGGGAGCATGGTTTAGCGATCAATTTTAGTTTATACACAAAGCTCTTTATTACCTTACTCCATCCCGTTATACATTTTCACTTACTTTCTCTTCCTCTTCCTCTTTTCGTATTTCTCTCATTTGTCTTTTATGCAATATCCGATGAACATCTATTTTTTTTAAGCAAATTTTCAATGAACGTCTTTGTTTTTTTTAGGCAAATCTTCAATGACGTCTTTTTTTTTTTAAGCAAATCTTCAATGAGCGTCTTTGACAATCATAATCTTTATTTTTATATAAATTATATTGATAGTTTAATAAATCGCATTAAAATGAATCCACCATAATTCAAGTGAATTTATTTCACCTATTCTAGCTATATCTTTATTACTCATTTTTTGACATTTTTCTTACATCCACACCTGTGTTAGTATATCCAAAGCACTATACTCCCCCTTACATCCAATGAGCATTGCCAGCTAACCATGTACGCTAATACTAGTATACTGCGTATAACGTATGTGAAAGGTTTACGAATGGGACGCATTATTTTTACCTATTCAGTATTCTGATTCACAGCAATATAAATACAGTATTATAGTAATTAGATATTGGTGTAAGGCAAAAAAGAAAAATGGAGAGATCAGGGGAAGGGGGTTCATCATCATCAGTCTCAGGAGAATCAACTCTTCTTCCTCTCCAAAATCCCAACATCTCAGCCAATTCAACGGCAATTAGGAGACCTCGTTGGCCGACGATCGACGGTCCAATTGGACTTTCTGAGGAAGAATCGGTTGTATACGCTCGCCGCTTTTACAAGTTTGGATTTTTGCTTCTTCCTTGGCTTTGGGCTGTCAATTGCTTCTACTTTTGGCCTGTTCTTCGTCATTCTCATTCCTTCCCTTCTATTCGACGATGTATGCATTCCCTCTTTCTCTCTCCTCAATTTTGTCAAGTTTTTCTTGGAATTTCATGAATTGGGTGTGTTTAATTTGATGAATTTTGTCTGTTTTGATCGATAAATTTTGATGCCCATTTTAAATTTGATGATTTAATGAACTGGGTTTGCGTTTGATTTCAGCTTTGTTTAGTGAATTGTCGCATTTGTGATTGGGAATATAAGTAACCCATTTTAGCTCCAAAGAGGCAAAGATTACATGAAATGGGTTTGCTTATGATTTCAGTTTCCTGTAGTGCAATGTCCTCGTTACCCTTCTTCTCCTAGCTCCATGTTCATAAATGGTAGCTTGAATTAGTCAATTAAGTATACTTACTTTAACTTGTGTCAAAATATTCATTGGTTATTGCAGAAGCTAATTGGTAAAATCACTATCAATCAGAATGTTACAAACTGGACTCCTGATGGTTATGTTGTAAGTAATTAATGAGTGTTTCACATAATCACATGGTACATAATTGTTTTGACTCATCCTAAATCCTAATCTATGAGAACAAATGATGAACTCCCTCCGTCAAGAATTATTTATTATGTTTGTTACAACGTGTGTGGGGGGGGATTGATTTTTGACGACACTCTTGTGAATTGTGATGTACTGATGTATGATATGTATTACCAGCAGGCTGTAGTTACAATCTACAACTTCTAAAAGCATCGTAGAATTCGAGCACCAGGGTGGAAGTTGGGGTGGACATGGGCATTAAAGGAGGTCACAAGGACTAGGATAGGAGGCCAAGCAACACATCAAGGAGATTGCTCAAAATCTGAAGGAAACATGCCGCATTGTTGTAAGAAAAGCCTCACTGCTGTAGACTTGAATCCAGGAACTCCCTTCAACCAACAAATTGAAGATTGTTGTCGAGGTGGGGTGCTTGCTGCATGGTCTGAAGTCTGAACGACTGGGCTAGATCAAGCTCATTCAAGAAGTGCTTTCTAAATCGATGTGGGACAAGCAGGCACTTCCTATAGAACTGTCAACACGCCCAAGAAATTCACATTCAAGGCACCAGGAGGTAGTTATGGCTGCCGTCCTGCTAATATAGTTAGGCCTACTCGGTTTCATACCGCTGAAAGGAGGAGAATTACTCAAGCTTGAAGTAAGGCCTCCTTATCTTTCACCTAAGTTTCTTACTCCTTAGCTTTGGATATTTGACATATTTGTCATGCACTAATCAGTTTTCACAGATTCCTATTGAAACAAATTAATGTGGCTCATTATTCACATCTTTGTTGATACTTGACAGTGACTTGGAATGTTACATCGAATATTCTAGCATCAGGAAATCTCTTGCGTGAGTCGAGTCATAGAGAGGATCAAGCAGCCCCGGCCTAGGGATGGTGTACATTACTTTCCTAATCATTTCACCACTTAGTTCAAATAAATCAGAGTTGGATGATTTAATTCCCCTTCGAAAAGTTAGATCAAAGAAAAAAAATTTGAAAGAATTTTGTGTGTCTCAATGCAAAGCTTGTAGCCTTGTAATTTTTATGCTCCATTGTTATGGCATTTAATCTTAATGCTAATTTCTCGGTCTGATGATTTTCAATCTTGGCTAAACTTATCAGTTATACTAGATAATTCTAATACATAAATTATAGCTGTCAATCTGTCATTCTTGTAACTCCTAGTATCCGTCACCCAATAGAGCTTGAGTACGGGCCTCTTTATCCCTTCAATCGACATCAATAACATATACAGGCATACAGCACTTACATTGCAAATAATCACTATTCAGATTACTAGCTAGTCAAAGCGCTAGCTAAAAACACTGTCGAACAGACCCTTAAACTGATATGTTAAACAAGTACTCTAAATAAATAGAGTCAATTCTAACTTATTTAAATGATACCTACATAGTTTGACTTCAGACTTTGGAGCAGCTTACACAGTTCACATATTCACATTAGCACATGCCCACATGGTCATCCAAACCCTGTTGCACTATAAAACTATTTAGATACTGAAAATCAAGTCAAGTCAAATAATGCTCTGCCACTGAGCAATTAATAACGACCAAGTTTCTAAGAAGACTATTAAAATTAGCCAAAACTGATTGTTTCAGAAACTTCTTTACACAAACTTTTTTGCAAATAGAACCTGGTATTAATCAGAATCATGAACAGATTGGACATATTGCAAATCTTGAAGTATGCTTTTATGTCTCTTGTTTACCATCTCTATCCGATAAACTTTGCTCTTTCAGTTTCAGGTTAGCTCAATCTTACCCCTCCTTATATCTACTAACTGCACTCTGACTGCTTTGTTATATTCCTGCTGTGTATGTAACTGCTAAGAGTTGATCCTTTGGTCGACTTCTGAATTATATGGGCCTGGTGGAAGGGATTATATTAAGTTCTAGTTAAACGCAACTTTTCTGAGTTGCAAAATTCAGAATTAAAATATATGAAACAAACAACCTATAGTTTCCTGACAGAAATTGAGATAATGCACGATGATTGTGCAAACCTACCAATGAACATGACGCAAAACCAAGATATCTGTCACTGTGTTGTCCTTTTTGAGAATCAGCCACCAAAAGCAGCGTCTGCCCATCATATATATTTGCTGTTTGAGGAGGATATGTTAATGTATCTTATCATAATATGCTGCTCCGTTTGATTTTGCAGAGATTGTGGATTTTTGTTGTTGTGCACTCCTCATGGCTTTCGTGGAGTGGATATTCAGTGCACTTCAAGACTACTACTCGCCATCCCAAGTTGCCATCCCCGAGACCGACACGGCCAGTGATGGCCATTTAGCATTTGGTGACCCTCAGGAAGACGATATTATCATTGGCTCGTTGCCTACATTGACAGAAACTAAGCCGATGTAGTTCTCCCCTGGAGTCTTGCCTTATTGCGTGGAACACCATCCGCTCAAGTTCCGTTAGAGCACTAGTTTGCTAGGGTACAGTGTACTGCAGTGCATCATCCTCTGGGTTGACTCCTAGTTAAAAATATTTACCATGTATATTTACCTTTAATTGTGAATGGCAATTAGTTTAGTTGGTTAAACTCTTAGAGGGTGATATCTAGGTACAGGGATTAAATCAGTATACATCAGTTATTGTCTTGTCGCTTGCAACTCTCTTTACATAAAAAAAAATATATGTTTACCTTTAATTACCTTTGATTTTAGCTTTGAAATTTATTTGGTAGTTCCAACAAAAAGAAACCCAAAGTCCACCACATTCAATTTTTATAATTTAAACCCAAGTACAATTATCAAAATTTGTTTGAGCGATTGAAAGCAAAGATTATAGGACTTGTTTGGGGAATTACCGAATTATGTACTACTATTTGTACCTTTGAAAACCTAACGCAAGAAACACAAAACATAGACTTGCACTATTGTGGTCAAAGCTCGGAGTACATAATCAAGTTTTTGTAAAATTATCCCTTCAATCGACATCAATAGCATATACAAAACTTACTTTGCAAAAAATTATTATTCAGATTAATAGCTAGTCAAAGCACTAGCTAAAAACACTGTAAAAGTTAATGTCGAACAGACCCTTAAACTGATATGTTAAACAAGTGCTCTAAATAAATACAGAGCCAATAGTCTAACTTGTTTAATATTTCGATAATACCTACATAGTTTGACTTCAGACTTTGGAGTAGCTTACACAGTTCACATACTCACTAGCACACCTGCCCACTTGGTCACCCAAACCCTGTTGCATTATAAAACTACTGAAATACTGAAAATCAAGTCAAGTCAAATAATACTCTGCCACTGAGCAATTAATAACGACCAAGTTGCTAAGAAGACTATTAAAATTAGCCAAAACTGATTGTTTCAGAAACTTCTATACTCGAAACTTTTTTGCAAATAGAACCTGGTATCAATCAGAGCCATGAACAGATTGGACCTCTTTCAGTATGCTCTTATGTCTCTTGTTTACCATGTCTATCAGGCAAACTTTCCTCTTTCAGGTTAGCTCAATCTTATCCCTCCTAATATCTACTAACTGCTTTGTTATATTCCTGCTGTGTATGTAACTGCTAATAATTGATCCTTTGGTGGACTTCTGAATTATATGAGACTGGTGGAAGGGATTAAGTTCTAGTTAAACGCAACTAACTTTTCTGAGTCGAAAAATTCAGAATCAAAATATATGAAACAATCAAACAAATAACCTATAGTTTCCTTGCAGAAATTGAGACAATGCACAATGGAGATGCAACCCTGCCAATTAATGAACTTGAAGCAAAATTAAAATATCTATCGCGGTGCTGTTCTTCATGAGAATCAGTCACCAAAAGCAGCGTCTGCCCACCATATATATTTGCTGTTTGAGGAGGATATGTTAATCAATTAATGTATCTTATCATAATATGCTGCTCCGTTTTATTTTGCAGATATTGAGCATTTTTGTAGTTGTTCAGTCCTTGTGGGTTTAATGGGTGTGATAGTCAGTGCACTTCAAGGCTATTGATAAGAAATTTTCATTTTTATCTTGATGCTAGTCAAGCTAGTGCATCAGCAAATTGATTCTCATCTCTGGGAAGATAAATAAATTCGATTTCAGGGATTTGTTTGGTCAATTGTTTGAGATATTCCTGGAAAAGAGCAAGACTTTCACTGTGAACTTTCCATTTCCCGGATATTTTGTTGATTATTAAGGAGGAATCACCATAAACTCGAAGCTTCTAAATGTCTAGGGATATTGCTTCTTGTAGACCCAAAATGCATGCTTCATATTCAGCGGCATTGTTGGTGGCCTCAAAGACTAGCTTGATTGATATGGGAGTCTGCAATGAGGGGGTATTAGGATAATATTGGATAATATTATCTCTACTCATAATCTTATCTTTTAGATATTATTATCTTGGTGAAGTATTATCTTATTGTAACCTGATTAGGGTAGGATTCTTGGACTATAAATATTGTATACATTGATTTATTGTGATAATGAGAAACACATTGATATTGGTTTTTTTTTTTTTTTTTTTTTTTTTTAATTTCAATTTCAAAATATTGTAGCTAGATGCAGAAAGAATGTAGACTGATAGATAAGCCAACGAGCTGCGTAAGATGCTAAATAAAAAGATGTCAGCACGCATTAAGATAAAGGCATCAAGCACATACATTGATACATATATAGAAGGCGAGAAAAGATGATCAGATGATGAAAACTAGAGAACTTAATTCATTAAGACAAAGATGGTAGTAAACATGTAACTCAGGGCAACATACAACGTACATTGATACATAGTTCAAAATAGGAGTAAATGTGATTAAAAAAACATGGTAATTAAAGACAATAACGAAATAAAATTGGACCCGACCAATAAAAGAGTAATTTCAAGTAAGAAGAAATAAGGAGTGCATGAAAATGTAAGTCTCGCTTAACAGCTTCAGTTTTGGGAAACTTTTGTTAACAGCAAGTGCCCGGAAAATACGGATCAAATAGGAACGCAGATCAAACTCTTGATTTTTCCTACCTTGATCTCGTCGTTTTTGGTAATGAAATCTTTGAGACTGATAATGGTAGAATTCGAACAGTACGTTGGTGGCTCAGCTTCCTCCTATGAAATCTTCGCCCATAATGGACTGAGTTTACCTGCAACCGGTTATTCAAGTCAACATCAATAATAAAAAAAAAAAAAACTCAATCCCCCAATCCACTCAGCCCCTCCTTCCCTGACCCCACTGCCAACCACCCCTCCTCCCTCCGTCTGACGGCTGCCAGCGCCCAACCCACCACTACAGGCCATTCCTCCACTCCTACTTCCACTCCGGCCACTGCAGCACAGACCACCTCCCCCACGGATGCTTTTCTTTCTCTCTCCTTTTTCCCCCACCCACCCACACCTTCTTCCCGACAGCCCAGCCCCACCCAACCGGACCAACCCCTCCACCCCGAAATCCCACCCTCAAACCTCACCCACCCCAAAACCCATGGCCCTATCTTTGAATCGAACGCCACCAGCACCCCAGCCCCACCCCACTGGACCGACCCCCACCTCCATTGCTAAACCTGCGTAATCTCACCCCTAACCCCCTCTCGATCTTTTCCACCCTCCCTAACGTCGGCCGATCCTTTTCCCTGCCTCCTCTCTTAGCATCGGCCTTCGCTGGCCGAGATCAATCACACCAAAACCCACCTAAAAACCACCATACGTAACTCAAATCCCCACATTAATCTCCGGAATACCACCATAGTTACCCCAAACCCACCCCCTAATCACCGAAACCAACTCCTAACCACCAAAAACCCACCCCACATTTCTATTCAACTAACTTGAAACCCGTAAAAAAATAGAGAGATGGGCGAGGAGTAGAGGCGGCGGCGGTGGGAGGGAATTGAGGAAAGAGAAAGAGATCGGCTGCCTGCGACCCCACCCTCGAACCGTTGGTCGGAATTAATGGAGGGAGGAAGGAAAGGGAAAGGGAAAAGGGATCAAGAGGAAAGGGAAAAAAAAAAAAACACTTGACCAATGATAAAATGACAAGTGGCTTTTTACCTGATATAATAGGTTGGGTGACCTGTTTGGTCCATTTTGGGAGAAAAAATGTAAACTTCTGTCCAAAATGGGAAGATTTAAAGGTAAGTCCATTCTTAGAGAATCGGGCAAAAATTTCTCTACTCATGTTAAAAAATCCTTTAAAATAAATGCCCCATGTGATGTAAAGTTTTAATAGTGGGAGGCAGTTAAGGTGAATGTTTATCTATTTTTTTTAACCCAAAGCTACAGTTATCTATATTTTTAATTTTAAAAAATATTTTATTTCAAATACAATTATACAATGTTTATCTGTTTTTTAAACCTAAAGCTATTTTTATTTTTTATTTTTTTCCAACCGAACCTACAATTAATTAGTTACCCGAAGCTATTATTTTATTTTTTTAATCTTTTTTCCACCCGAAGCAACGACAAACCTCCGTTTGGCTTTTGGAGGCTCTTAAGTCTTAACTCATACTCGTAAATTGTTGTCTAATGCGACGACTTATTTTAGGTTTTTTTTTTTTTCTAAAATTTAAAAAAAAATAAAAATAAAACTAAAGTCGCTAACGCAAATAAAAATAAAACTTTCAAAAAAAAATTATATTTTTAATTTTTATTTTCAGATTTTTTTTTTGAAAAATGATTTCATTTAACAAAATAATAATAAAGAAAGTTGCTAATTTTAAACTGATTTTATTCGGATGTTATAATATGAATTTTTTAAAAAAAGGTTTTAAAAAAAGTCAATGATAAAATTAAATACCAAAGAAATCAAAGTAGGCAATAATAGAGGACATTTATATAACTCCGTCAGATATCATGCATCTTTTAGTTTTCTTTATACTCAAGCATTAATTTAGCATTAAGAAGCTAACGCAAAGATGAAAGTTACGGTGTATTCAACAATAATTCTCTTCTCAGTCCTCTAATTTAATTCTTTCTATCTTACTTCCTCTTTTTTTTTTGTTTTTCTCATTTCCCCTATCCGGAAATTTCAAAATGTTGTTCTCATTTGGAAACCTTCTATTTTAGTTCAATATTGTGATTGGATGAAAAAAATTGGTTGGGATCACTATCCATGTGATATGTAGCTCATTGGTTGATTTTTTAATTGTTTAAAGCCATGGACTTTAGAAATTGCACTACTTATTTGATGCTCAACCCACTTGCATCATTTTTTAATAGAATCTATTTTTATTTTTAGATTACTTTAAATTATTTTATAGAATCTTAGTGATATTTAATATTGTCTTCGTTTCTTCCCTGATTCCAAATGAGAAGGAAAAAAAAGAGCGGAGGGAGTATGTATTGTTTGGTATTGGTTCCTTTAAAAAACCATACTCCAAAATCCAAATATGGAGTGTCGTGAAATACACTCTATATGTAATTCCTTCTTCAAAAGTGCGAAAAACTCGATTGGAGAACACAGCATGGAATGCAGTAGATTAAAAACATAACCCACTAGTTGATTAAGAAAGGAATTAATGGATTTTAACTGATTAGATTCATAATGTTGCAGATGATGCCCTGAAGCCCGTTATCCTTGCGGTTTATAAGATCTATGTTGCCCTGGACGGTAACATATGCAACGCCTTCATTAATAGAACATACATTTAACAAAAGCGCGCTTATAGTAATTTGAGTGGGGCTTTTAGGGGGCAATGCGTGCGGATAAGAAATACGGAGTACAAGTTACTAACACGTTCATTGGTTGTTATAAATCTATAGTCTAAATTCCCTCACATACACACTCCTAGCATATCAGATCATAACACAATTACTCCTTAAATATTCAAGGAGATGATGAAACTGAAGAAGTGGGCTGGAGTGCTTATTATGCTGCTTCTAACTATGATTTTGGTGAGCACCTCCTCATATGCAAAGGCATGTTTACTAGTCGATCAAAACTGCGATGTCGATGCCCCCGACTGTTGCCCAGGCACTGCCTGCTATATTAACTGGAATGACTTCTGGAGTGACAAGCCTACTACTTATAGTTGTAGATGGTGCCCAGGAGTGACGGATCAATGCGGTATATTCAACCCGTGTTGCCCCGGCTTGAAATGCACCGGCCTCAATGGTTTATGCTGGCCTTAACACAAGTGTAGTGTACGTAGTATGATCTGAGTGCTACTAGAAAGCTTAAATCTACCATGGTGTGTTTGTGCCTCAATAAAATTAGGAGAAATTCCTATACCTGATATAAATTTATCAAGAGATATTTTTGTAATTTCATTTCTATATCTGATATCATAATGTCTATACATGATATAAGTTTTTCTATATTCTATATTTCTATATCTGATATAACAATACTTATATCTGATATTAAGGTATATCTGATATAACAATACATATATTTGAGATTTCAATATCCGAATATAATTATATCAGATATAAATTAGAAAAGTTTCATAAAATTACTCCTTTAATTACCGTGTTATATTGTAATAAGTTCATTTATTCTATATACTTTTTTAACTTTTTTTTTTAAAAAAAATTTCAAAAATAGGCTTCGAACCAAAATATTTTAAAAAATAAACTTCTCCAAGTTTGAAAGTAACTTAAATAAAATCACTGCCCCAACCTGAATTGCAACCTTTTTTTAATGACTTGTGAAATCGCACTGCTTTAATTTTCAACCCAGTGTCAGCCCCAGCCAACTAAACCGCTACGTGAGGCATCAATTTTGGTTTAAATTTTTTTATAAAAATTTACGAAACACTCTGAGCCAGCCCAATTCATGCTGACCCAAAATAGTTGCCTCAAGCAATGATTTTCTCCTAAACTTGGATTAGCTTATTTTTGAAAATATTTTGGTTCGAAACCTATTTTTAAAATTATTTTTTACATAAGCTTAAAAAAATAAATAAATAACTAACTACCAAGTTTTTCTCAATGAAGTTAGTTCCATTATTAGCGTTAAAACTCTTATACTTCGTATGAAAGTATTATATATATTTATATATAGAAATATTTTTAAAACATGACTTAATAAATCAAGTTCGTTAGATTATACTTAGAATTCAATACATTAATTTACTAACTTAATTGTTGTGCTTAGGAGGAAAAATTACAAGAGAAAAAGTATTTAATGTACTCTCTTTTAATAAACTAGGTAAGTCCCGGCATTATGTATGGTTGAAAAGGGAAAGGTAATAATAATAAGGATATTTTAGATTTTAACACCTGACAAAAATCCGAAAATGGTTTTTAACACCCCAAAAAAAAACTTTTATTTTAACACCTGACAAAAAATATAAAAATGGTTTTTACCACCATTTAACTGATTCCGTTTAGGAATCCGTTAAGTGGGTTCATGAACCACGTGTCGCTTTATTATTGGCCAAAAAATAAAAAAAAATTAAAAAAAACTTAAAACTACCCAGCCACCCTAGCCCCACCGCCGCCCCACCACTGCCACCTTCTTCTTCAGCTTGACCCACAGTCGGCGACGCAATGACCGGCGCACCACCTCCCCCTCCCTCACTGGCCGACCTAAACCCATC